AAAGCAATCAATGACAATAATATAAATATTGAGTCAGCACACAGATATATAGTGGTTCGGTTCGGGTGACCTACTCTACTCTGAAAAATGGCAATGGTGGTGGAGGACTTTTTATTAATGAAGTCAGGTAAATGGGGGAGAGAACAATAGTTAGCTTTGGGAGATAAAATATCTAGGAGAGAGAAGCTATATGTGTATAGAGAGGTGTGGTGAGAAGCCAAGATGTGTCCTCTCATGTGGAGAGGACTTACAATTTTATAAGTATTGAGAGACGGTGACGTGAGAGTAAATGAACTAAAATCTCAGGAGGATAACTATAAAAAATAAGTACAATTAAGGTAGTATTGGTCTTCGAGAGTATGTATCCCGATGATTTCTCCCTCACGTGCTCTTTTCTTCATGAACTCCTTGAATCTTGGACTGGGTCAGATTGATGAAGTGGGCTTGAGTTGTGTTTTAGCTAACTTGAGTTTACTGGATTCATTGGACCTGACCCAATTAGATTTGGGCTCGTCAAAGTCGTTTACCTGATAATTACTATTTCAACGACTTTAGATTTTTATTACTTAAGAGTAATATTTTGAGAAAAGAACTTTGTTTTATGGGTAATAAGGAACAATTCTGTCACTTGATATCTAATGCAACTTTGGAAAAATCATTTTATAATATTTTGCTTATAAAATATAAATCTTCATGCATATAGGAAATTTTTGGAATATTGATTTATTTCTATTGATGAAGGGTATTTGAATTTGAAGCCAACTTGTGACTCACATAGAATGACATATATGCATTTTTTTTTTTTTGGGTTAATGGTGTCAATGAAAATCTAGAACCAGTTTGGTAGGATTTATTGCTTTGAGCAAATTTAATTTAGTGATCTAATTTACTAAATTAATTTAATATGACATTATCAACGGGTCTTTGGTCTAATAGTACTTCTTGTCTTTTTAAAGTTTTATCTTTTTGAGGTCAAAAGTTCAAGCCCCTTTCCCCTCTTTCCTAAAAAAAATAAAATAAATCAATTTGACAGTTGGATTAATTGTGATACCCATCAAACATTGAAACTTTATATTGATTCAATGAAGCCACATTATTAGGTCAGCAAATTAGGTCAGATTTTTAAGTACAAATAACATTAGTGTATTGTTTTATATGCTAATGTTTGCCATTTAAGGGATCTTAATCTAATAATGTCAAAGTCGGCATTAATAGTGTTTATTGATTGATTTTTTTTTTTGGGGTCATAACGGAGAAAATATTGATTGTAAATGTGACATTACGTCAGTATTGTCACATAATGTCAACAATCAATAATAAATCAACATCTAAGCAAGTAGATCCCATTTAATTTAGTAACTATATATTGTCTATGTAAGAAAATAATTACTATGTATAAAGAAGTGGGGTTCAATTTGTCCAAATTTATAGATTTGTTATTGGATGATAACACCATGTAATAATGATGATATGATACTACCGTTACACTCAATATTTAATCGAGCAGGGGTTCGTACTTGAGCAAACCTATGATAAGCAATGAAATTTCATTTTGGTATCCCATTTCTACTCTTCAAACTAGATCTATTTTGGGAAGATGAAGCAGAATGCAAGACATCAATTTTACCAAGTGACTGGGAATAGGGTTGATAATCAAGTCGACCTCCTAGGGATTGGTTTTGTTTAAAAAAATTAGTTAAAAAAGGCTTGACTCAAACTCATAAAGCTTGACTTGTTTCTGCACTAGGAGGTTTTTTCGGATTGGATTCAGCTTGTTTTATAAACGAGTCGAATTTGAATAATTTTTTAAATTCATTTAAAAAAACCATTTTAAGAGACTTGGTTCAATTATTAGCTTTAATTGGGAAGACCATAATGTGATTGAAGCAAGATCTTACAATTTAATTGGGAAGACCATATGATTTCAAAATATTTCAGCGTATTTCTTCTTGATCTTGGACCTCGTAAAACTCCCTCTCAAATAAACCCCAAGAAAAAAAAAATACACTACATCGAAAGTGAAGTGGAAGTACTTATGCTTTTCGTTCTCCATGGAGTGGTTATAGTGTTCTATCTTTTGTGATACGATAATCTTTAATATTCACTACTTATTTTAAATTGAGACACTAATTTATTTAAATTGAGCTTTCTAATTTTAATCAACCTTAATTTTGTACTCGGAAGTCACATTCACAAATTGTGATTTCTGTTTTCAATGTAAAATTTTATTCTCTATTTATGATTATGGTGTTATATCATCTATAACATGGTGATCTTTAGTGTATGTCACTTCTTTTCAAGTTAGAACAATTATTTAATCAAATTGAGTTTTCTAACGTTAACTTTGTAATTGAATGTCTTAGACACTAGTTTAACTAACTTCTACTTTCTAACTTCAACCAATTGTCACATTTGCAAATGCGATGTATGTTTTTCATGCGGAATTTCATGTTCCACGTCTTAATTATGATGTTCTATTATCTGCAACATGATGATACTTAGCATTTGTTATCTCTCTCTCAAGTTAGAACACTATCTCAACCAAATTAAGCTTTTTAACTTAAACTAATCTTAATTTATATAGGGATTTCACATTAGCAAGTGTTATGCATGTTTTATATGTGGAATTTCATTCCCCACCTGTTGAATATGGTGTTTCATTCTCTTTTACTCGATGATCATTACTATTTATCACATCTATTAGGTTGAGACATTAGTTTAACCAAATTTTGAATTTTTAACTTTGAGCAACCTTAACTTCGTATCCAGATGTCTTACGTTATTATTACATGTGTTTTCCAAGTGAAAGTTTATGTTCCACGCACTAATTATAGCGTTTCATTCTCTGTAATATGATGATTCTTAATATATTTTACATTTGTCAAGTTGGGAACCTTAACTTCGTACTCAAATATCGTATTTGCATGAGTGATACATGATATTTCATGTGAAATTTCATGCTCCCCACATCAATTATTATAGTGTTCGATCCTTTGCAACATGATAGTAGTTAGTATCTATCAACTCATTTGAATTTGGGACACTAATTTAACCATGAATAATATATGTAGGTTTAAGATAAATGGATCTATCTAAGCCTATGTCCATGTACATCCATTGCATTCATATTCCCATGATCACTTTTGAAAAAATAGGAATACACAAATACATGAATATCTACATCCATACACGACCCTTCAATTCAACCTGTCTAGAATATTCTAAAATATACTAGAATGTTCCAAATTATTCAATCAAGTTTTATTTTACCTCCATTCTATATAATACAGCAACTTAACTTGAATCACATCTATAATATAAAATATGGTAGATTTTAATAATTCTATTCGACAGTTTCAAATAGATTCATTCAACGGTCATCAACATCCCACTCAAAATTATTTAAATTGCACCTTACTTCAGGCACAGGTTACCTCTAGTAAGTTATAAACTGAAATAACAATCAAGATTGATCAAATTTTAATTTATTTTGACTAATGGTACAAAATTTATCCCAATTTTTTTTATTTCAAAAACATCGTTTATTCTACACAGCTCCCAATGTTAGACAGCTCAACTTACACACTTAACCCCATTAATCCATACTTATTTCTTTTTTTTTTCTTTCCTATTGCTCCCTTATTTTTGATGTGTTCACTTTAATTTTAAATTGTATAGTTACCTAGTGTCTTCAGGTATGAGGTTATTAGTAGTATACTCATTAAACTTAGGATAGAATGGATTAATCACACTAGGAAAAAAGAAGGGGGAAAAGCCAATATGGCAAACAAAATTAGAGACCCACATCATTTCTACCATAATAGCAAGAAGAGTAGGAAAAAAGCAAAAAAGAAGAGAGAGACTTGGGAAAAAGTCTGTTTTTTGCAGCCTGCACATCCTAAAATAGGGTTTCCCAGGTGATTTTAAAGACTAAAAACCTAAACCTTGTGTGTGTATGTGGAGCTTTTTACCTGGTAATTTTTCAATTTTATTTCTTCAATACCAAATTTTCTGATGTATTTTATAAACTATTATTATTTAGACAAAGCTTGGTTCAAGGTCCATGTTTTCATTATGAAAGCGTCTCAACAAAATACACTTTTATAAAAACACTGTTGAGTTGAAAAAAAATTAGAAAGTATGATATTGAGGCAAAGAAATTCGAATTATGGTACAATAGTAATTGATTCGTCGGTTTGTTTGTCCATGTGTTTTTGGTTCCACCGGTACTGATAGGCCTTGAGACTAAATCAACTATGATAAAATCTACAAGATAAGATTATGGCATTAAAGAAAAATTTTACTATAACATACCGAAAAATGATTTATGATTATTAATTTTCAATTGATGAATTTGTAGCCATTGATATAAAGTGAACTGAAATTATAAAATAAGAGAATTTAACTTTCACCACATTCTTATTGGTTGAAGAAAAGAAGAAATGAATGCAAAAAATTATTTTTTGGTACTGTAATAGAACTGAAATTCACGTGCATTATCACAAGGCACTTCATCAAATGCATTAAAATGACTCAACATGGTGATTGAGATCCAGAAAATGTTCAAGTCTGGAAATATTAGATGCCAAATGGACAGCATAAAAGGGATTAGGAGACAAAGAATGCAAGTGGAATTCCCTTTATTGATCATGACCTTTAAACTTTTTAACACTTTAATGTGCATTAAGACAGAAAAGAGGGGCCACCTAGTACAAGTGCTTTAATAGGTATCCAAAGTTTTGTAAGTCAAAAGAGCAAGAACTCCACATTTTATGGCATTTTAACATAGAAAAACAAAGCATATTGAGCATATTAAGGTTTCTATCCTAAACCCTAAACCTAATTCTTGGACAACAAATCATAAAAGAGAAGCCTAGTGTACGATGCTCCCCTCATTGCGAGATCTGGGACGGGTCAGATATACACGTACGATCTTACCTCGCAAGCGGAGAGATTGTTACCGCATTGGACAACAAATCAGGAGAACTAAAAAATCTTACTTATGCTTCAATCTCAAACCTTGAACACTTGATGGAGCCCATGGAAATGTCAATCTCAATCAGATTTTCTTCCTCATTCACCTCATTGATCTCTGCTAAAAGCTCCACTAGGCTGTCTTGCTTAAAAATGGATTCTAATGAGAAATCTGGCAACTTTTGCAGCAAATTAAACTTGGGACTTGCTTCTTTTGAACCAATGGATTGGCCACTTGGAAGAGCAATTTCAATCAGGCTTTCCTCGTCGGAAATCGAACCATCAGAGCAGTCCGGGCCACGACCCGCCTCGCCAGAAAATGACCAGTCAACATCAGAATCTTCACTTGAAGTTGGGTGATCAATGCTTTCATTTTCCAAACACAAATCAAGTGATCTAGCCACATAGTCTTGACTATGCACCACTACTCCATTTTCTTGAACTTCTGTAATCTCTGTAATAACTTCACTTTGAGGCTGTTGTATTGATTCTTCTTCAACCTGAAGTGGGCATTTCTTATCAGAGCTGAGAGCTTCATCTTGAACTGGGATCCTCACAAGGGCTGGGTTTTGTTTTGAAAATGTGAAGAAAAGAGTGGATAGAATCAAAACTAAAGAGGTGATGAGGAGAGAGAAACAAAAAGTACACGAAAAACCAGCACATAGAAACAATGGGACAAGAATAACAATCCATGTTATTGGGTTTTTTAGGATACACATACGAGAAGCCATTTGATCCTCAACTATGTTTTTCAATGTCATGGATTGGACAGAGAAAAAGTTTTCAGATATATGGGAGTTTATATTTTATAAAGAAAGAGGAAAGAGAGGAACTTTCCTTCGTTGGATTGAAAGAAGTGGAAAGGAGATTAATGATTAGATAGCAAGTAAAGGAAAAATAGTTGAAGCTAAAATACAGATTGATGTGCTTCTGTAGAGGTAAAAAATACCATAAAAACCAAACTGTTTTAACAATGATCAGTTGGTTGACCTGCCCTTGAATGAAGAAAGTGAAACTGTGAAGATCGGTGGGATGAAAAAAACCTCGCAATTTCAACATTCAAATCTGCTTTTGGATGAGAGACGTCAGTTGAGACCAATAGAACATTAGTGTTTCAACAGGTCCAATCTCTGCTGCTTTCTTGCTCAGATGCTTGACGAAAAACTTGTGGGAAAGATTATATAGGAAAGGTTAAGAAGATTCTAAGAGGAAAGAGAAAAACTCAGTTCAAGGCTAGGCTGTACTGTTCTTAGAGATCTGAGGAAACAGATGTAGCTGAACAGGTTTGCCAAGAAAAACAAAGTTAACAAAGAAGAAAATAGGGTTTTAGTTGTAAAATATTGGATTGGATCAGCAGTGAAAGTAGATTTCTAGGTGTTTTCTCTCTTAGCAGATTCACACTTCCCAATCCACTACTGCTTCTAAAAATTGGGTTTTTCTTTTTTTTTTTTTTGTTTTCTAACACCAATTGGATGGTTTTCCTCTGGACCTGATTCCCTTGAAAACACCAAAAACCTGGTTTACCTATATCAATTTTACAGCCTCAAAACTTGGAAATTTGAGAAGCCATGTGCAGAGCTCTGAGCTAACCACCACATGGCACTTGTCCCCCAATCTCCATTAAAAACAAACCCTTCAAAAAAACACATACAATACATTATACTACCATGCTAGTTTTCCACTTCACCCATCTCTTTGCAACTCCAAGAAAATCATTATCACCACCACACCAAAAGCTTCACCAAAAGGCATCTGTTTTCTGATAAACCGTAATACCAAACTGGTCTCCCCTTTGAAGGTTTGCTCTGAAATAGCTCGGGAAAAAAAACAAGCAACTTTTATGGTGAAGCCAAAGTAACTTTCATCACAATATGTTCCACTAGACTTATAGCATAATTGGAACCTTTAGATTCTTGATCTTCTCCCTGCAACTTCATTGAGACCCATAAACAAAAAAAATCAGTGTTTTTTGGCAGTAAATCTTTGTGGAACTGGAAGTTTACTTACCAAAAGAGAGAGAGAGAAAGACTACGATACTGAAAAAAGTCCGATGTCAAAAGTTTATGAATAAAAATCTTTGTAAAAGACTGAAACTTAAGAGAAGACAATCTTTCAGTACAATATTAAGAAACTTTGTTGCAATGACAAAAACTTTACAGTGAATACGACTTGTCACGCACCAATAAATGCAACATTTGCTAGATTGGAGTTTAACCCAACAGAACTTTCTACAGTCTATGGTCGATATTGAAGGAAACAAGGAAAAAAATGGGAACAATTTGGATTCATGTGACTCACAAGCTCACTATTATCTCACAAGCTCACAGTTTACCATTTGGGTCTCCTAGTTCTTGTTTGATTTCTTTTCAATTTATTGCATTGAAAACCAGGAACTTTGGCGTCAATTGATTCTAGAATATTATGTGGTATCATGAATTAAGAGATCATATCATGGCAAAATCTATTTTATTATGCTTATGCATATATTTATATGTGCTATACACGTCAACAAAGATCATAAGCCGCATATGTTTTCATTATGATCATGCTTTTTCTCTTTTGTTTGTGCCTTTAATGATGGCGCATGCTTTAACAATATTGTCATCAGTATATGTCTCCATCAATATCATGCCCAATCTTCTTCCTTCTTCTTTTTTTTTTCTTTGGGAGGAAAAGGGTCACATGAATCCACATGTAAATCCCAAAAATCAATAATTATCCATTATTCATATGTATCGAGTTGATTCGTAAGTCAACAACGAGAATTGAACTTAACATATCCAAATTTACAACCAAATTTAACACACTCACACATATATATATCCCCTAATCCAGTGAGTAAATTAGAATTGCATCATCAGACGAAACATATAAAAATTCATTTTATGAAAAAATAAATAGAGAAAATGCAAGGAAGACGGTGCCACCTGTCGGCCAAATGTAGGTTCTTCAGCTTGCAAAAATAAACCAGGCCACATGAGACTTCAAGTGGGCAATTTTTTCTCTCCTGGATTTGAGTACAAGACATTGAAAAATAAATTAAATTTTAAAAAATAGTAATTAATAAATGAAAAATATCGCCGAGCTTGAAGCAATTTCATCTAAAAAGAAGGAAAGAGATGAAGAAACCGACCGGCGTCGGGAGTGTAACATATGGAATAGGTTATAAGTTTTAGAAATGGAGTAAGGAGAGTACGGAGGGGACCATATATACCTAAATGTTGATGAAATGTTTCATAAATTTATTGTACGAATGTTATTTAAAAGTCTGCCTTGAATCCAGGGCAAAAACTTTTGGCTAACGTCTTTTACATTCTTTACATTTTTCTATAGTGTGGCACTTTAATTTTCCCCACTTTCATACTTGGGATATCATTATATAGGAGTTGTTCACCATGCCTTGAAATATCAACGAAGAAATCAATGAGTTTTTGGTCCAATGACTTGTAAAAGTTTTGTCTTATTGAGGTCAAGTGTTCAAGTCTCCTTTCCTCTTCCCTCTTCAAAAAAAAAAAAAATTGTCAACGAAGAATATGATTAAGTTTTATAGTTGAACACACTTCTTGAAGCATCTCGAGGGGGGGGGGGGATTCAAACGAGTTGGTTTCTATTGTTATAAAAATATATATTTATATGCTACAACTTATTCTACATATTGGGTTATTTCAGACATGGATGCATAGGGCATTCAGTAACCATGGATGAAATGGGTGTAACAATAAAATTATGCACATTGGGTGATTAAAATTAAAAAAAATAAAAATTACCTCTGCTGCTTCTTTTTTTTTTTTTGGATTTCTGTAAGGTTTTGATGAAATTTATTGCAATTGCAACTTGCAAATAAGACTAAAATGAGTCATACAAACGTTCACACAACCCTCCTTAATTCACTTTTGTTTAAGAGGTTTACCCACTGATTTTTAGTAACTAATGGTCACAAGATCACCTGCAGTAGTAACTATGTGGCGGTTGCTGCTCTCTCTTATTTAATTGTCTGAGAGTTCGATGTATACAACAACTTTTCAATTAATTTCGTAGTATTTTCGAGCCGTAGACTGAGAATCGATCCTTTCCAACTTGAATGCCAACCTCATTTCTAAGCACCTCAAATCCCAAGAGATAACAAAGTTTTGCAGGGAAACATTATGTTACACATTCCAGTCTTTACGGATAGAGTTTGTGTGACGAATTCATAAGCGTGTATTGAATCCCACATCGGAAGTTTACACAAGGAATCTTGCATCAATAGGTCAGGTAGAAACATAACGTGAGAAAATAAAGGAGGGGAGATTGTCATGACCCACATTGGCATGTATTGAATCTCACGTCAGAAGTTTATATGAGAATTTTTAGTATATATGTAGGAAAAATGAACCCAAATGACAATTTTTTGGCTAACCCTTTTGGGTGAGTTCGTTATCGGAAGTTTACATGGGGAATTTTGGATATATGTAGGAACAATGAACTCAAATGACAACTTCTTTACTAATTATTTTGTGTGAGTTCTTGAGGTTTCTACATAACCTCAAGGTGTTTGGGAGTATTTGTTTATATTCTATTGAAATATGAGCACGTCTCAAAAATGATTTTTGTTTTGAGAATTGGTTTTCTGAAGCTGAGAATCACAGGAGTTATCATTGCTATGACTCCCTTTTCTAATCAATGCTTGTCAACTCAGAGTCTATAGCCATGTTATTTTCATAGAGGATCCTTCCATCCACTCTTTGACCTCCTCTCAGCCCACTCCCGTGTCTGCTCAATTTTTTCTCTAAATGGTTACCACTAGAACTCACCCAGGGATAGTCAAGACGTTGTTATTTAAGTTCATTGTTCTTACACATATACTCATGATCTCCGTGTAAACTTGCGATGTGAGATTCAACATACGTCAATGCAGATCGTTAAAATTTTTATGTTGCAAATATTGAGACATTCTGTTCTTAGTAGCTGAATTTTTTTATTTTTTTTTCTGATTTCCTAGTGTAACAAGGTTTGTAAAGCTCATCCACAGTCTCACTTGACATCTCATGAGCATTTCCACTGCAAAATGAATTGTTACGTTGATAGTTTCTTTAACAATAATCACCTCATCTACCTTTTTGGCATCGCCAGTTAGGGATACATGTAACAATTTGTCTAAGTTGAAAGGATTGTCCAAAATTTTCGACTTAAATCAGCATAATAAAGTAAGAGATTTCGAGTCTTTTGTCGATAAGGCGATACCCGATTTTGAACTGCAGAAAAAGGAGTTGCAGTCCTTCACCTTACCACTCGACCATGCCGCCAAAACGATGCCAAGATGAAAATTTTCCCCTTTAGTTTGATTATTGAACTAAAATCAGTTACATCTTAAGTCCTTGTGTCACTTTATGTGCAATAAAAGCTTGTATACGTACAATGTCAAGTTCTTCATGCATCAACACTTCCAATTGATCGAATGAAATCATATTTGACAGATGAAATGTATGGACTTCAATGTACAATGGTGAAAACACAGTCGGATAATCATCGATACTTGCACAATGATGAAATAATATGATAATGTAAGGAAGGGGTGTCTTCATTGGATTCTCCCCTGCCCTTTCTCCTGCTGTTTGCCAATATCTGCACTTAATTACAAATGTAATTTTGCTGAGGTTAATTATAAATTGATCTATGAAGCTTATGTCCACTAAGTTACTTGATTTGTTTAGCAATTTCCATACACTTTTCTGTTTTTTTTTTTGTTTTAAAAAGGGGGAAGGGCGACCAATAGGTATAATCCCTAGACTTAACCATGAGAATCCCTTATTGTAGAATGTCTGGTTTGAGCCATAGCTACAAACCCGAAAGGGCAACCCATCACCACAACACTAGCAAAGTCAAGCGACAAACCGTTTGTTCTTATGAATTGAATGATAACCACATGAGATTCAAGGACAACCTTAAATAGGTAAGGCTTACCACTAAACCACCAACTGGGGTGGTAGTTTCCATAAACTTGTTTCATTTGCAATTTACATGTATTCACTTCACTGTCTTGGGATTATTTGCAGTTTTCATTTTAGGAAGCAATAAAAGTATTGCGGAAATAGCCTTTCCATAGGCAAGGGTAAGAATACGTGCATCTAACTCTCTTTCTAGATCCTGTAATGAAATGAAAGGAGTCTTGTGCATTGTACCGCTCCTTTTGATAAAAAAAGTTCTCAATAAATTCTACCCCCAGTGATGCATAGATATATATACTGAAGCAAAGTAAGAAATGAGAGATGAAAGGCTTACTGTTCTGGTTCTTCATCTTTAGTGATGAATTTCTTCTTTTCTCCTTGCTTGAGTTCTCCCTTTCCTCCACCTAACACCACCATAAGTTCACAAGTTATCATTTCAGCCATATCTTGCCCAAAATTCATTAAAAAAATGAAATAGAAGGGTGCTCCCAAACCTAATTCTGCACAAATTTTGAAATGATTTGGCCTTGTCTTTGGTGAGTAGAAAGTGTGAAGTGGTGGAGATGGAGATGAGAGCTTGGGTGGGAGTGGAAGCTTGGTGATGAGGGAAGAAGAGAGAGTCACTTTGGCCGCCATTTCTCAAAAGAACTATCTGCTTTTCTTTGCACATGATTCCTTGCCAATCCACATGTCTTGTTAGATATGGATATGGTTGTTGTGGCCCTCATGGTGGTAGTTTTATCCAACAAATATCCGATTGGCATATCTTTCAAATCCTCTTTTTTTTTTTGGCTAGAATAAATTTATCTAAAAGCATAAAAAAATAATGTCAACACTAGGGGTGGCAAATGGATGGGTTAGGTCGGTTATGGGTTGGGTTAAATTAGATTGGGCTAAAATAAATTCAATCCATTTTTCACTCATATAGTAAATGAGTTATAATAGGTTGGATTTATAACGGGTTAGATTAAACTGATTAATCCATAAAATAATTAAAATTCTTAATGAACACATTAGTACATCAAAACACACACATTAGTAGTACACCAAAATACAAACATATACACACACTAATACACCAAAACACACACAAACTAATACACTAAAAATATGCACACTAAAATATACATTAATATACCAAAAATACACACATATATATTAAAACAAAAACTAAAATACATTTATTTAATAAAAAAAATACACAAATAATGAGTCAGGGTGATTTTGGACTATGGGTCAACCCATAGAGATCGTGGGTCAATCCATGAATTGTGGGTCAACCCATGGGTTATGGCCGACCTACGGTTGTGGGTTACCCATAAACCATGGGTCATGATCGACCCACAGGTCGTGGGGTCGTGGGTTATTGGTTGACCGGTCAGTCATGAGTGGTGTATTAGTGTATTTTTTTGTGTACTTATGTGTATATTTTGGTATATTAGTGTATATGTGTGTATTTTTTGGTGTAATAGTGTGTGTATTTTTTGATATATTAGTATATTTATTTAATTTTATTACTTGTGTTATTTTAAAAAAAATAAATACTCAGCTCAATGGGTACCTATATGTAATATATATTAACCCATGTAATTAAAATGAATGATATTACCAAATCTATTTAGAAATCATATTAATTAATATAGGTACCTAACTCATTAATTTATGGGCGGATTAATAGGTTAAAATTGTCACCTCTAGTCAACCCGAATAACTTAAGTCATAACAAATATGAGCCGTAAATTCAAGTTTATGAGAAAGTTTGAATTTTGGCAATTCTTTAAGACCAGAACATTAGGTATTTATATTTCATGAATATTCTGATTTCGGTGTGGATGACCTGCTTTTGATCGAACTAAATAGGGAATTAATCGAGATGCGTATAAACTGACTCAAAAATCCCTGACAGTTGAACTAAATTTAAAAAAAAAAATTAATGTCACTTAAACCTTATTTACTCACGTAATTTGTTAACTTAAGCAATTACCGTTATAGATTGTCTAAAGATTTGTTGGACTCCTTGTCAATCTAATGACTATGGTGCCATTCACTCAACCCTAATCAGAGGTCAACAAATTAAGTCTAATAATATTATTGAACCAAAAATATAAACCCCAATGATGGGTGGCTCGTGAACTTGAGTGCCTATAGATATCTGGTATATTTAATTTGACAAAACTGTGTGTACAATTTGCAATTCACCCAAAGTGGGGGGGCCCTGATAAAACATCAACAACATTTTCTTGAGCATTGCCCTCTCGCCAACTTGTCTGCAGCTTGGTTATCTCTGTATTTGAGTGTTGACTGATGGAATTTGGTGCTGGGTTAATGTGGAAGCAGTCAACTGCAATTTTCAGCATAGTAGTGTTATTTTTCTCCAAGTTGTCTAACTTCGCGCCTACTAGTCTATCGAATTCAGTGGTTGGTCATTAAGGCTCGAGTTGAATTAGAGCATGTCCCTTGAGGGATAATGATGACTAATTCTTAAGAGTATGAAAATGAATTGAACTTAAAATCTCTAAATTAATCTCGAGGACTGGTCTAACCACTGGACTATTTGTAGAGTTTAACAGAATAATTTGATAAAGCTTACCTTACTATTTTTCTAATTTATTGAATATTGATTTATTTAATTGCACAACACCCAATCAATACTCACCACCTACACATTTCAAAACCAATTGAATAATTCAAGATATCCCATTAATCCACGTTACATCCAACTACATAATAATGATCAACATTTCTGTTACTCTAGGTCTGTTCTTCTATATCTATCCAGATACCTACTTTACATCCTCCTCTATTTTTTTTAATATTTTGATTTATTTAAAAAATAAAAACAATCCTTCAATTCAAAATCTATGATATATCCTTTATAACAAACCTTCAACTTTTCCATTAATTGTTTAATTGACAGATTTAGAAGAGAAAAAAGATACAAAAACCTATTGCAAATGAAGATAATTAGGACATTTTGTGCATTGCACAGAGTCGCCGCTAATATAGTATGTTTATATTTGAATCATGTAGGAGGAAAGTAACACGACACATAAACTAATTGGGATTAAAAATAATTTGGGCTATTTGGAGTTAAAAATAAATTAGGTATTTAACGAATATAGTCATTGGATTATTAGTAGGTTTCAATATTAAGTGTACTCTATTATCAATCTAATGAATACAATACATTAAAGGGTCATTTGGTTGCAATATTAAAGGGTGGATTATCGAGTCATAACGTATTAAGACTCTTTAATTCAATCTTATACTGCATTTAGTTGCAAAAAATAATTTGTATTATATATAGTCTTATTTCAAATGCTTATCCAAATAATACATTATATTCGTATTATTGAACCGATTATAATACCACCCCATAGGTGGTATTATAGTCTAATTCAAACGTATTAAGTTATAAATTTACTATTTTACCCAACAAATAAACAAAAACATTAATAACTAGATAAGATTGATAATTTTTTAGTTAATATATAATTGTTATTCTATTATCTCACTCTTAATCTAGTGTTTTACCAACACACTAGATTACAATGTGTAATATTTTTATCTCATATTTAATCTTGTATTTTTTCGCTTATACGAAATTAACTTGTTTTACCTAATATAATTTATTCTTTTACAATACGGCAACTAAACGAGTCCTAAATTTTTAAATGATATCTTCAAGTTATGTCTCAATAGCATTAATAAAAATAAAATGAGTAATTCTATTAGAATATAATTTAGGGACTCAATAATTATGATCATTAGATACTCACTAGGTGCCAACATTGAATAAATTTAATAGTTAAAATCTATTAAATTCTCAAATTATGTTTAGTAACATTAATATTTGCCCAATTTAAAACTAGGAGGTTTGGATCCCATTTTACCTATGGAAATGATAGTTGTGCCTCTTCAAAGACACATAGGTTTTTTTTTAATTTTATAATGATATATTATTTTATTATTTTTGTCACTATCTATATATAAATGAAATTAAAATTTACTATTATCAATTAATTTCTAAAGTAAACTCTACAATATATCCAACAACTCGTATGGTACCATATTACCATATATTGAAGTTTCCAAAATTCTAACTGTACTCACAAGTCACACAACTCACCAACCGATAAAATCAACCAACCATTTTGCCCCGTAGTTTCCAAAGCCAAAGCCAAAGCCCACAAAAAGTCATAGATAGAAACTCCCCCTTACTAGTCTTCTCGTCTGTTCTGTTCCACAGTCGTCAACTCTGTAACATTGCTCAATGATATCTCGTACATTTCACCTTTTGAAGCAATCTGATGCTTAAAATTCAGATTTTGTGACCACCTATTTGAGAATTTGACGGTTTTCATGTTGGGTTTCTCTTTTTGAATAGTTCTGATCAATTTTGTGATCTTGACCTTTACATGAGTCATCAGTCAAACCCTAGTGTGTTCTGGGCTCTCCTTGGTGGGTTTTGTGATTTTCATCACAAAACCTTGGTTGCTTTAGTTGATTTGGTTTGCAGCAGCACAGAGGGAGAGAGAGCCTGGGTTCTCCAATCGTCGGTGTTATTATTGTAAAGCTTTGGATGGTTCAATCCCTCTGTGAAGACCATTTTGGAGGTTTTTAGTACTCACCCTCTTACTGATTTGATCTGTTCTCCATTGGGTTGATGCAATTTTTTTGTGTTTGAGCATGTAACTGTATGAATTATTGATTTTATTTGCTTGAACAATACAGGGTTCTATTTTGTGAATTGGGTAGCTATGGTGCTATAGGTTTAAATGTCAAATAGATTATCTGTATCTTTATGGTTTTGAAGCTATGGTTTTGAACAAGAAACCTCGAATCAAAGATGCGGCTTTGCGCCGCTTTCTGTCTCTGGTTTTGATTACTCTGCTAGGGGTGGCTCTGCTGGTTTTTCTCCTTAGAACGAATTCAATTGCCATTTCAGCTACCCGTAATTCGAGTGAGATCGGTGAAAATTTTGGATTGACTTCTAACTACTCACAAGTTAGAGCAAAACTCAACCTTCCCAAACAGAATGAGTTGTCAATTTTGTTAGAAAAGCGAAACCAGTTGCCTCCAAGAAACATGGATTTATATCCGAATCTAGCCAAAGATCATATAGTCATTGTTCTGTATGTTCACAACCGGCCCCAGTATCTCAAAGTAGTTGTTGATAGCCTTTCTCAAGTGGTAGGGATAAGTGAAACCCTACTGATTGTTAGCCATGATGGATATTTTGAAGAGATGAACAAGATTGTGGAAGGTATTAAATTCTGCCAAGTGAAACAAATTTTTGCCCCTTACTCGCCCCATGTCTTTCCCAGTAGTTTTCCTGGTGTCTCACCAGCAGATTGCAAGGATAAGGACGATTCTGTAAAGAATCACTGTGAAGGAACTCCAGATCAATATGGAAATCACCGGTTGCCTAAAATTGTGTCCTTGAAGCATCACTGGTGGTGGATGATGAACACAGTGTGGGATGGGTTAAAGGAGACTCGTTCACACTTGGGTCATATTCTTTTCATAGAGGAGGATCACTTCATTTTTCCCAATGCTTATCGCAACTTGCAGTTACTTACGGAACTGAAACCACAAAAATGTCCTAATTGCTATGCTGCAAATCTGGCACCATGTGATGTGAAGTCAAGAGGAGAAGGGGGGGAGAGTTTGATTGCCGAGAGAATGGGGAATGTGGGTTATTCTTTCAATCGGACTACATGGAGGAATATACGTAAAAAGGCGAGAGAATTTTGTTTTTTTGATGATTACAACTGGGATATAACAATGTGGGTAACAGTTTATCCTTCATTTGGTGGTCCTGTTTACACACTTCGAGGGCCTAGGACTAGTGCTGTTCACTTTGGGAAATGTGGTTTGCATCAGGGCCAGGGGGAGAGGGCTGCTTGTGTTGATAATGGTGTCGTGAAGATTGAAGTGCAGGAGATAGATAAGGTTCCCAACATCAAATCTGACTGGGGAGTACATGTGCTCACGAAACAACAAGGATATGAAGCTGGCTTTAAGGGTTGGGGAGGCTGGGGAGATATAAGGGACCGCCAATTGTGTTTGGAATTTGCTAACATGTATCACCTGAGTTGAGAGATCAAATTTCCTTTCCGAAGAGTTTCCAGCATGTTGGGTTTCCCAATCAGCAAAACCGATGAGGTCTAATTTTAGTTGAGTTACTAAAAGAGAGCATACATTGTTGTTACATATGTGGATTTTGTATTATTACCAGAATAAAATCACGTTATGTTTTACTCTTTCAGTGAATTTTTAGCCGTCTGATTTTCTTTAATCCTGCCATATCTTTTATCTTGTTGAATGGGTGATCAGCCTATTGCTCTTCATGATTTTAGGGCATGGATACTTCTGCTTTCTTGTGACAGACAAATGTTCTTATTCAATTATATGTTGAAAAGAAATTGATGGTGATAAAAAAATTGATGTCACTGCAAGCTTTTTCTTATTTCATTAAGAAGCTCATTAAAGTTCGTTTTCCTTGAAATTAATACTAATGATACCAGCACCAGCAGTCTTGAAAGATCTTGACCCCATTTCATTAGTGAGAAACTGGTGCATAGGTGGAAATGACTCAACTTAGCACCCTACTTCTGATTAATGCTACATCTTTATCCATGCATTCATATGTATATACATATATATTACTGCTGAGTATGATAGGGTCTTGGTGCTAGATACACCACTATGGATGCCGGTGGATCGTGTTACTGCAAAAGGAAAACGGTGATGACGACCCCCCAACATTCGGTAAGCTGGGCACAGGTTGTGGTGGTAGAAAAAAAGAAAGTATAGAGTGATACACTATTATGATTTTTTATTCGTTTTGATACTGGGAGATGGATTGTAACTGAAGAGAGAAGACGAGCAGTTGAACTTTGACAACAAAAGTTGCAGCCAAGCTGTGGGAATGGGGGGTTAAAAATTGATGCACAAAGCAATATCTCCCTCCCTTCTTCAATTCAATCCTTAAGTTTTTGTTCTTTTTGTGTTTAACTTCATATCAGGCCAGTTATGTCCCCGGCTGTGAGTGGTCTAATGCGCCAACTCTTTTTCCTGGGGTTAGTGGCCGACACTTACAGTGACAGCCATGTTTTATCTGGCTTAGTTTTCTATAACCGTGGGGCTTGATAGAGCACAACAGGGGAAGATGACTCTGTGTACTGCCTGTTAATTTTTACCCCATGGTTTATGGAAGGCTGAGGCTAGAACGTATTGTGTCATTCTGATCGAGGATTTGCCATCAATATCTTTTTGATCTCATCCCATGCCAAGTGCATACTTGGAAACTCAGAATATGGGATGGTAAATGGAGATTTTGTAAAGGATGAATGTCAACTATTTTCTTGAATCCATTGAACTCTAGCTACCCTGATTGTCATGCCGCCACTTAGTCATCGTCAACCCCCAGATCCAATTCTTTTGATGGTAAACTCAAAAGTGGTACGTCAAATTCTGTTTCCAATTTTCTAATTAAACAATGCTGTTGTTTCTTATGATGATGATGCACCTGATACATTCTGTGAATATCATGTTCTTACTCCCCTCCCGTCTCCCTTTATGTTGTCAGATGACGTGGATGTCTCCATGTAAGTCATTCCACTGGATTTGTAGAGCATTTGAAAGCACTCCATTGTATATTAGTTGCTATGAAATTACCTCTTTTTAGCATGTGTCAGATGTTTAAAGAATGTTTTTTTCTTCCCTTTTTTTAAAATGATGCATTGGGATAAGGCTTTATTGTATTGAGTAGTTTTTTTAAAATGATAATTGTGATTAACACAATTGCTTATTAGGCTGCTGGTACGTTGTTTTATGTTCAGACACTTCAGGAAATGATATTTGTAGACTTTTTCTTTTCTTTTGCTGCATTCCGTATAATTTTGTATGAATTTTAACTATGTTAGTTGTTCTGAGCTTATTCCATTCTTCTGTCCTAACCTGTTTGCGTACTTTTGTGATGCGTTTTCCCATCAATTTGCTCCTGTATAACAAAGCATGCCATCAGGAAAATCAGCACAATAAGCTGATTAATTTGTTGTGTTTTTATTTCATGGACTTTTTCAATGCAGAAAATTATTTTTTTGCATCAACTAACCATGATAACTAGGTACCTATTGATACCATCTCCTATGCTTTTGGGGGATTGATAGTTATCCCAAATGGACACCCGTAATGATTGGATTCTGGAAATCCCTTTTTTTTTTTTTTTTTTTTTTTTTTGGGGGGGGGGGTGGTGGTTCGGTTGTGCACTGGAGATGCAAATCTTCATTCAAGATTTCACCTGTCAGGATGGCGGGAAATCTGATTACATCTGAATTTAGTTTCTACTTCTAGCCTGCTGCTCATATTTGTATTGAAACTGAAGTCATGCCTTGAGCTGCTAACCCGTAACCCGATTAGCTTGTCTTCTTAGTTCTCACATGGTTAGAGAAGAAACTTTGGCATCCATTTTTATCAGAATTTGGAACCTGAGCTACCCACAAATTTTATTTCAGTGCTTGAGTTGTTTATGGATCGTGTGTATCACACAAACTGCAAATGAGCTGGAGGGTGCCACAGTGCTGCACATAATTGTCTTGATTATAAACAAATGGTAAGAGGGAGTTCATGTTCATTATTGAGTAGAAGCAGGTATGGCTGATAATCGAGTCGAATTTGTCGAGAGTTCGTTCTTCTAAACGAGCTTAACAAATTGTTCAAACTCGACTTGTTTAGAAATTGGTTCGAGTAGATTGATTATTTTACATATAAATGAGTCGAGTCTTTTAGGCTTGTTTCTAAACGAGTCTAAAAAATTGCTAAAACTCGGCTAGTTTAGAACATAAGTCAAGTTTGAGTCAAGTGAAATCGAGTCTTATCCGAGCCGAGTCCGAATAATTTGACTCAATTATCAGCCGTAGAAGCAAGATCTCTAGACCAAATTAAAGATCAACTCTGGTTGGATCGAGTTTGATTCACGCCATATTTTTTTAGAACAACTGAGTGTTAGGTTTTTGTGAGAGAATTGCGTCGTGTGATAGCAGATATTGGTTAAATTCAAGTGTCACCGATAAGAATTAAACTCAAGATATTTGTGTTCACGATGCACTCTAAATTCAACTTTACATCAGTGAACTATCTGAGAAACTAATGTTCATTCCAATGCATGCGACGTGAAGATAGGTGGACGCTGAGGCCCGTGGGTATGTGGTTTTAATTATTAGTCCAGTGTTCAAGGCAACTGATGGTGTTGTATTTGGTTTGTGCTATATTTAAATGGTGTCAAGTAAAAAATTATTCAATTTATACTCAATTCATTTATATATATAATGTATATCGTAATCGAGTATATATCGTACTGAGTTCGTGTCGTATACAACTCATATAGTTGTGTTTAGTCAATTAATCTTTATCTTTTTCCGTTTCTTGTATTTGAATTCACATATTTTGTATTGGTTGGTTGGGTTATATCTTTTGATTTCTCCTAAGAGGGATTTCACCTAAAAATTCTCCATAATCCTCTAATAGATCATTTATCCTGTATTTGAGAGATCTATTTATATATAATGAGTTTCACTTAAATTCACGTGGGTGTGATCTATCATTGAAAAAAACTGAAATAAGAAATGTACTTGAGGAAATTGAAATTTGTCAGAGAGAATTTTTTGACTTTGTAAGTGATAATACATTGCCTCCTTCCCTGGACTAGCAACTAGAATTTAGAAAGAAGCAACGTTGAGTTATTTCTCTATATTAGACGCTCAACACACGCGGGTATTATGAAGAGAGAAATAGATAGTTCATTGGGTTAAAAGAGAGTTGGGTGGTTATTTAGGAATAAATGAAGGGTAATATTAAAATTACATGAATAGTGGCGGTTAATTGGAGTTAAAAGAAGTTATGAGTAATTATTTTGGGAAAACAAGTAGAGTGGATGCCAAACATAATGAAGACATAAGACAAACACTTACCCTTCAAACAATACATCACGATTTTTAGTGAAAGAATCAATCTCTTCAAAGTTTTGAAATAAAGTTGTCTATCACTTAACTCTTTTATTCTCTGTTATGAACAAAAGTCGTGTGTGCTTAGATACCAAGACAAGTTTCCAATAGCAAACATAGATTACTCAATCTCTATACATAGGGGGTTGATGAGATTCCAAATTTTTGAACAAGCCTTTTGTTTGAGTCAACATTAAGCCAAGACAGCAATTTTGTGAGTAATTTCAAGTAGGTTAGTTGTTATACTCTCATTACCTTCCTACTTTATAAATATTAAGCAAATGTCAAATAATAGTTGAATGAATGGCAAGCTTTGAAGTATATATATAGAGAGAGAGAGAGGGGGGGGGTGTTGAGTAATTAATTTGAAAAGCAAAACACAATTATATCAATCATAGTCCAAATGCTATATTGGGCCCCATTAATTTAGAAAATGTTCTCCATATGCAAAGATTTGCATTAAATATTTTATATTCATTGTCAATGGGACCATAAATAATTACCAGTCTTCTAGATACAGACAAGTCAAATTTTTATTGGGCAAACTTAATCTAATTTATACATACACATATATCTATTATATTAATAAAAGTAGTTTAAGTGAAAAATTTTTGATTCACTATTTTACCCTTATAAAAATTTTTAAATATCACATTATCTTTTAATAGTTAAATATCTAAATTACAATCACAACCTTATATATTTAAATCTTTAAATTATCATTTAACATCTTTTTTAATTCTTTATTATATTTGTATAAATATTAATATCTATGAAAATTTATAATTCACTATGCAACTCTTAAAAAAATATATGCATCATTACAATTTTCAATAACGTGTTCACAAAGTCTATCAATAGATCATTACTTTTTTCAAATAAAAAAATAACATTATGTTTATATATGTATTTTTTTTTATATACTACTAATAAAAGTACCTACGAATAAAAATTTTTACTCTTATAAAGAATTTTAAATACCACACAATCATTTTGTAGTTAAATATCTAAACTATCATCATATACTTATGTGTTTAAATCTCCAAATTACCTATAATATATCTTTTAGTTCTTTATTCATTATGTTTAAATATCAGTACCTATGAAAAATTTTAATTAACTACGTTACCTTTAAGAAATATATGTATCATTATAGTTTTCAATAAAGTGTTCAAAAAATCTTTAAAACTTTTGTCAATCTAAAATTATTCATTTCAAATATAAAAATAACATTATGCTTATATGTGTAAATTTTTTTTATCTAAAATTTTAACTATTTCATTTTTAAGATAAAAAATAATATTTTATATAGTTTTTCAAAAAAATAATTTATCTTAAATTAACATAATTCTTCAATTACAGTAAAATTTTCATGTTTTATTAAGAGTTTATATTAAAAAAATTATAGTGTATTTTTAAGTAAAATTTGAATTTTAGAATTTTAATATTCTTTTAAAATATATATTATAGTGTAGTATATTATATTTTAGGGTTAATAACATTTTTAGTCTCTGAAATATACATGTTTTATCAGTTTGATCATTATTGTATCAATTTTGTTAATTTAGTTTCTAAAATTAATGGTTTAAATGTTCTTTACACATATAATTTGTTAAGTTTTTGATAGAAGTGATCACGTGTTGGTCATGTGATACTAAATGATGGAATGACACGTGGTCACTTTTATAAAAAAAAAACTTAATGGATCGTCTGGTTAGGGGTCATTTAAACAAGAATTGAATATTTTATGGACCAAATTGATAAAATTTATATATTAAAGATGAAATTGACAAAAAAAAATGCATATTTTAGCGACCCAAAGTGTTATTCAAGTTGAAATCTAATCAAACAAATTTCAAATGAATTATTTATATATTTTTTCTTCTAATTAGAACAACAAATCGTTGGGAACATAAAATATTTTTGAATTTTATAGTATAAAACGAGCGATAAAAATATAATTTTTAACAAATTAGATATTATATTTAATATAGGTACGCATATATCTAATAATATTATATATACGAAAACATTTATATCCATCTACCTTTATTCATCATTTAATATAAATGTGCATTGCTTACATTATCATAGTACTATGAGCACAGAGCTAATGGTCTTATATAATATAAATCCATATCCCAAAAACTATTTAGTCTCAACTAATTGACTTTTTTTTTACGGGAAAGGGAAAAGGAGGAGAACTTAAACTCTTAACCTCAAGAAGGTAATACCATTAAATTAAACGCTTATTAATACCTAATTGATTATCTTTTTTTTTTCGAAAAGTCTAATTGATTATCTTTGCTACTCTTAATGTTAAGATTAATTTATGAGGACCCAAAAAATATTTTTTTACGTCCCTTTCCTTTGGAATTGTATCGCGCCCTTGTTTTTCTTTCTCTTTGAGTTTTATTGTGACTTATTTTGGGATTGTTACTAGTTTAGACTTTAATTGAAAAAAATATTATTAAAGTTTTATCCCCAAATTATAGTTCGACTCGTCAACTACATCTCATCTCATATTTCATCCATAATTTTCATGTTTCTTATATTGTATCTCAAACTATAATTATCAATTTTATATTTTCCTTCAACAGTCTTATTTTTTCCATTTCAATTCCATCTAGGATTATTGTTTTTAAAATTTTCATATTGTGAGCAATAAAAACACATTTTATTGCTCACGTGAATATTTTCATTCCAAAATATATTCAAGAGGGGCAGTACAAAAAATTCAATAATTGAAGGAAAAAAGTGAGAATTAGGGTATAGTTGAAGGGGTTAATGTGTAATACATCTTATTTTAAATAGTAATCCATTTTTGTAATTGAAAAATGAAAAATAACAAAGCATTGTGCTTTTTGGGGCTATTTTCACCCCCCACAAATTTTTATTCCCACCCCATTTAATTTTTCATTATCAAGTTACTAAGGCCACACTTTTGATACCCACCACATTAGTAACTAAGCCCATCCTGTGTTGTATACACCCCATTAATAGTTAAGCTCATTCATTTTATGTACACATCTTTAATGAAATAAATTATTGTAAAAAAAAATAATAAAAGAAAACAATTAGTTTGAATGTATAAAAATATTTTCGAAATAAGAAAAAAATCAATAAAAATTGAAACAAGAAAAAAAAAACATCTAAAAACGAAATAAGCATGCTGAAAAAAGAAAAAAGAAAAGAACGAAAAAAAGAAGTAGACCAAAACAAGAAAAAAGAAAAGAACGAAATAAGAAAAAAACATAAAAAAAGAATTAAATCGAAACAAGAAGGAAAAAAAACCAACTAAATATAAATGAACAAATAAAATTATAAGACACAAAACTGAATATTAAAAAAAAATTAAGTATCAAGCATATATACAAAATCAAATAATAAAAAATAACAAGCATAGATGCAAAACTTTAACAATATAAAAAATAATAAATAATTTGAAAGCATACATATATATACACACATATAAATTATAAATAAAAATTATTAAACTAGAGAGAGATATTAAAATATACTAAAAATAATGAAAATCCATATATATAACAAATATGAAATCAAACATAGAATTAAATTAAGAAGTAATACTAACATATATCTCACCAAAAAAATTTATATTGAAAAGGTTTTTTTGTGAGTGTATGAGATGAGATGGATAATGAAACTCTAATTCTGATTAAATACAAAGTGAGTTTACTTATTAAAAGGGGTGTATATAGCATGTAGTGGATTTAATTATTAATAAAGTGAGTATAAAAAAGATACATTTAATAATAAAAAATTAAATAGAGCGTGAATGAAAATTTGTGAGATGGAAATAACCCCACCATTCCAACAATCTCTTACCCCAACAAACGAACACATATTGTTAAATCTACAAACAGAAAGGTAAAATTGATAGTATCGTATTAAAAATTATAATTTTTTAAAATTGGGTAATAATTTTTTTAAAGAGCAAATTATAATTTTAAAGAGTATAATAGGAGGTTGGTTGAGACCGCTGATAGTTTATAATCAATTCTTGGTGTCTCTAATCGATAGCGTTGTGATTTTTTCTTTTACTGGTACTAAAGTTTTTTTATAGTTTCCCAGCAAAAAGACATATCGCTATACAATTTATAATTATATCTCCAGTTTCAAGAATTCATGGGCTAGACGCCAGAATTCACGTGTTGATGATCCTTACCCTGCAACGCTCTGGTCAGTCAACATCCATCTCTCTCTCTCTCTCTCCCCACACCAGTCTTTCTGTTACTCTTATTATTTTAATTCTGATTTCTGGTTTTGGCAATTTTGAGGATTTGGTTTTGTCTGCACTGATATGAAGAAGGTCAATTAAGCCAAAACAAAGCTTAAAAGCCGGTCCTTGTTGAACGAACTTTTAGGCTATATGAATCGTTTTCCTGCAAATTGGTCTCTGAAGATTTTGCAGTTTTCTACTCAGAATCTGGGTATCTGGGTGCTTGGTTTTGTGGGGTTTAGATGTTTCTCTGGGGGCAAAATGGAACAACTCCCACACTAGTTTTCTTCTAGTAGAATCCATTTCTACTGACCTTTTTCTTTTCTATGGTGGCTTTTTGGGTTGAGAATCGAATCATAAGGTCAGTCGGGTGTGAAATATCTTATCCCTATTGCTGCCCTTTCATGGTTTCGTATGCTTCTGGAATACAAAAAGGTTGCTTGTGATTGGTATTTATATATAAGTTGGTATCACTTTTTCCTCCTTTTTTTCATGACATCCTTTTGGATTTGGTAGATTCTGTTTGATAATTAGAGGTAAATTGATCTGGGGATTTGTTTTGATCTTAGTTTATTATGTGAAGTATTTGGTTTGGAGCACCTAACTGGGGAGTCCATGCTAAAGGGTTTGAATACAATATTTCATTTTTGTGGGTTGGGTTGATTATAGAATCTTTTTGGGTGAGAATAACTTGGACGAGAGGAATTGAGAAGTTTAGGAGGATTGAGAGATGTCTTCCAAATCTACAACAAACAGAACAAACTGTTCTAGGAGCAGCTCTGCTCGATCGAAACATGGGGCTCGTGTGGTTGCTCAGACCCCTATTGATGCAAAGCTTCATGTGGATTTTGAAGATTCTCAAAGAGAATTCAATTACTCTACTTCCATTAACTTAAACACATCCACCTCCACTAGCAATGTCCCCTCCTCTGCTGTATCAGCTTATCTCCGGAAGATACAGAGGGGAAGTCTCATTCAGCCCTTTGGTTGTCTTATTGCTATTGATCAACAGAACTTTAGTGTCCTTGCATACAGCGAAAACGCCCCAGAAATGTTAGATTTGGCCCCTCATGCGGTCCCAAGCATTGAGCAGCAAGAGGCTCTGACTTTTGGAACGGATGTTAGAACACTCTTTAGATCCTCAAGTGCTGCTGCACTGCAAAAAGCTACCAATTTTGGGGAAGTTAATCTACTCAATCCGATTTTGGTTCATTGTAGAAATTCAGGTAAGCCATTCTATGCAATTCTACATCGAATTGATGTTGGATTAGTTATAGATTTAGAGCCCGTGAATCCAGCTGATGTGCCAGTGACGGCTGCTGGAGCGTTAAAATCATATAAGCTAGCAGCTAAAGCCATCTCAAGATTGCAATCTTTGCCTAGTGGGAATATATCATTGTTATGTGATGTGTTAGTTAAAGAAGTTAGTGATTTAACGGGTTATGAGAGAGTTATGGTGTATAAGTTTCATGAAGATGAACATGGTGAAGTAGTTGCTGAGTGCTGCAGGCCCGATCTGGAACCTTATCTTGGCTTGCATTACCCCGCTACTGATATACCACAAGCTTCAAGGTTTCTCTTCATGAAAAATAAGGTTAGGATGATATGTGATTGCTTGGCACCACCAGTTAAAGTAATGCAAGACAAGGGATTGAGTCAATCATTGAGTCTTTGTGGATCCACGCTGAGAGCTGCTCATGGGTGTCATGCACAATATATGGCAAATATGGGTTCCCTGGCATCTCTTGTTATGTCGGTGACGATCAATGAGGATGATGATGAGATGGATAGTGATCAACAAAAGGGAAGAAAGTTGTGGGGCTTGGTGGTTTGTCATCACACAACCTCCAGGTTTGTTCCATTCCCTTTGAGGTATGCCTGTGAGTTCTTGATTCAAGTTTTTGGTGTTCAGATTAACAAGGAAGTGGAGTTGGCAGCTCAACTGAGGGAGAAGCATATTTTGCGAACTCAAACTGTTCTTTGCGACATGCTCCTAAGAGATGCACCTGTGGGAATTGTCAATCAATCACCTAATGTGATGGATCTTGTTAGGTGTGATGGAGCTGCACTGTATTACAAGAACAAATTTTGGTTGCTTGGGGTCACCCCTACAGAGGCGCAGATCAGAGATCTAGCTGAATGGCTTCTTGAAGACCACAATGGGAGTACAGGGTTAAGTACTGATAGTCTCATGGAAGCTGGTGTTCCAGGTGCTGCCATTCTTGGTGATGCAGTATGTGGAATGGCTGCTGTGAAAATAACTTCAAAAGATTTTGTCTTTTGGTTCCGGTCACACACAGCTAAGGAGATCAAGTGGGGTGGGGCAAAACATGATCCGGATGACAAGGATGATGGAAGAAAGATGCACCCTAGGTCATCATTCAAGGTCTTCCTGGAGGTGGTTAAGAGGCGGAGCTTACCTTGGGAAGATGTGGAAATGGATGCAATCCATTCCTTACAGCTGATACTGAGAGGATCTTTGCAAGATGAGATCGTAGATGATTCCAAAATGATCGTGAATGTGCCATTTGTCGATACTAGTATAGAAAGAGTGGATGAGCTCCGTATTGTGACGAACGAAATGGTTCGACTCATTGAGACAGCTTCAGTCCCCGTCTTGGCTGTTGGTGCCTCAGGTAATATAAATGGGTGGAATACTAAAGTAGCTGAGCTGACTGGATTGGCTGTGCAGCAAGCTATTGGCATGCTCTTAGTCGATTTAGTCGTGGATGATTCTATTGACGTAGTGAAAAACATGCTTTCTTCAGCTTTGCAAGGTAATACTCTGCATAATCTTTAGGCTCCTTGGTAATTAGTTTCATATTTTTGTAATATTCATGTTTTATATAGAAATATTTGTTGCTGGGTGATATTGTTTTGTTTGTTGATTTTTCCCTTGGGATATTTATTCTGTAAGATTTGGAAATTTGACTTGGTCCTGATCAGCATGATATGTGTTGGACTTTCAGTTTTCTAACATTTTTATGCAGAAACTGAGGCTGATGAGTAGAGAATTGGTTTTGTTGGCATAGGGAGAACTTGGGCCCACTAGGGATCAGTATCTAGTGTTTAGGTCCTCACCTACACCAGAAAGATAAGCAACGGAAAAAAAAATGAAGATCAAGAGAAGCGAAAGTATTTTATGGCTTGCTACTACAGCTATACACTATGTTATTTTCATTGGTTGTATGATGCTCTTTACCAAGCCTAACATTCTTTTTTTGTCTTTTTATGGGTATAAATCACTAGAAAAATCCAAATGTTTTGAAACCCGTCCACCCGATGTGTAGGTTTATAATATTTGATATGTTTTATTTCGAATAATCAAAGTTTTTGAAGGTTGGACCTGAAGGTCCGTTGGAGTGGCAACGCCCTCCACATAGGGATGATAGTGGACCGGGTAAACATAGGTATTCGTTCAAATTCGTTCCGTTTGGATCGGGGATAGACTATACCTATTGAACGGTGGACGTATACGGAGATACTTGTATAAACCCATGCGGGGATGGATTGACACTTACCCCTGTATATATATATATATATATATATATATATATATATATATATATATATATATATATATATATATATGTCAAGACAAATGTACATATTATTGAATGATTTTTTCTTTTGAAAATTGTTTTGTTTTTAATTTTTTTTTTTCGTATTTTTAGCTTGTAAAAGTGTAGATCTCTGTGTTTTTATGTTTTTTTTTCATGTTGGATTATGTTATGTTACATTATGTTGTGTTGCACGATATTGTGTTGGATTTACGTGGGAGACAAATTTTTAATTATATTATGTTGGATTATGTTATAGATGACAAGTTTTTTAATTATGTTATGATTTTCTATAATTATGTTGGATTATTTAGAATGTTAGATTTATTTAAAATTTTAGATTATGTTAGTTGAGTTGGGGTGGGAAAAGTGGACGGGCGCGGGGATTACAAATTTATCTGTGGACGGGGATGAAGATAAAAACTATACCCGTTAATAGGGGTGGATCGGAGATGGACGTAGTTTTTTAAGCGGGTACGGGGATGGAGACTACACCCCCCGCCCCTGCATCGATTCACTGCCATTCGTACCTCCACATCTGCACTTGTTGGTTCGACTCCTCCCCCTTCCCTTATAATAGTGTGACCAAAAAAAAAAAAAAAGTTTCTGTAGGTTTGTGAGTTGGAGTTGGAAATAAATTGAGTCTTCTTGATGTGAAGTATTCTTTCATTTATTTTGAGCTACATGTCCTTCCTCTTCTATTACTCTTCCAATATCTTTGCTGGATTTCAATCTGATTAAAATGGCAGGTACAGAAGAGAAAAATGTTGAAATCAAACTTAAAACATTTGGTCCTCAGGAAAGTAATGGTCCTGTTATCTTGGTGGCAAATGCATGTTGTAGTCGAGATGTGAAGGGAAATATTGTAGGGGTATGCTTTATTGGCCATGATGTTACTGGGCAAAAGTTAATTATGGACAAATATACCCGAATCCAAGGAGATTATGTTGGAATCTTGCGGAACACTTGTGCACTTATTCCTCCGGTGTTTATGATGGACGATAACGGTCGGTGCTTGGAATGGAACTATGCAATGCAGAATTTGTCTGGTGTCAAGAGGGAAAAAGCCACTGATAGAATGCTTCTTGGGGAGGTCTTTACTGTTGATAATTTTGGTTGTCGTGTTAAAGATCAAGATACATTAACCAAGCTCAGAATATTAATGAATGGGGTACTTGCCGGCCAGGATGCAGATAAAATGTTATTCGGGTTCTTTGATAAGCAGGGCAAGCATGTCGAAGCATTACTTTCTGCAAACAAAAGGACCAATGCAGAGGGAAGGATAACAGGGGTTTTGTGCTTTTTGTGTGTTGCTAGTCCAGAACTTCAATATGCAATGCATGTGCAAAGGATATCAGAACAGGCTGCAGCTAATAGCCTCACAAAATTAGCTTATGTTCGTCGTGAAATTAAAAATCCTTTAAATGGCATAAAGTGTGTTCAGGATCTAATGAAATCTTCTAACTTAAGTGAAGAGCAGAGGCAGCTTTTGAAGAGGAGCACGCTGTGTCAGGAACAATTAGCTAAGATTGTTGATGACAACGATGTTGAGAGTATTGAGGAATGGTACGATCATCTGTCTCAAACTTATTTATATGGTTGTTATGCAATGGATGAACCGATTAGTTTCTAAATCCACACTAAGTTGTTTTTTCTTTTGGGAAATATTCCACAGTTGTAGTTTTTGACTAAATATGTAAATGCAGAGATGAACGCATCTGTGACAAGATATATCATATATTTTTGGTGCTGCATCTTTATAACCCTTTACAAGGGTCCCAAGCAAGCCTGTGTAAAATTCAAGCTGCTGCAGTGGCAGCAAATTATCAACATTCTGTTGAACCAGCTTAGAATTCTTAACTTTTATGATATCAAACAGTTGACATATATTCACGATTTAGATTCATGTTGCATTTTTGTCGGTCTTAGATCAAAATATGTGTGTTTTGTTGGAGAGACACATTGTGAAACCATCTTAATCATAGAAAAATAAATAATTTAGCTTGTTGAAGAGAGATATGATATGAGTTAAATGGCCGAGGTCTGTTTTGTGAATTTACACTTCAAAGATTGAAAAATGATTCTTCCCCCACAAGAAGTTCCAAGTGCTGATTATATGGAGTTCATTTACCATCTGTAGCGCATAGTGAATTATATGCTAAGGTTATTCTATCATTCTATATGGCTACAGCAGGATAACAGCATGCGCATTTTATTGTTGACAGAAATGTCCCATCCTTCAGAAACCTTATTTCCTTCTCGCTAGTACACAATCTACAAGCTCAGCCTCCTTTATTGAACCCATAATCTATACTCTCTCTCCCTCCTCTCTCTCTCTCTCTCTCTCTCTCTCTCACACACACACACACACACACACACACACATATTCACACACTCTGGTGAAGGAAATGTCGATCATGTCTGTCGCCTACCATGGCGGCCACTATTGCAGTCTTCAGTGATGGTTGTTCTCCATGGATGACATGGCAGTTGCAGTCGCCATTTCTAAGTCGAAAGTGAACCCTTGAACAATCTATACTGGTCATAGGCTGTGCCTTTGACCTTGCAATCTGGTCAACTTTTCCCCATTGTTGTCATTATCACACTGCTGACCATGTCCGGCTATGTGGGTTAAGGATGAAGATGGGTCTCAACTTCTTGTTTTTCCCTTCTTCCTGAACCTTTTGACTTGAGCCCAAATTTTATTAAGTTGACAGGTGTTTTTACTTTATGAAGACCGGGCATGGTGCTGACCTACTGCAGTCGTGTAGCAAGTTAGCATTTCCTTATACTTGTATTGTTATTGGTATCATATTCACTATCCTCATCCTCATCCCCGTTATCATCTTTACACTATTGAGAATCCCCACCCTTGACCCACAAAAGGGTAATATAGAGTAAAGACATTAGCAAGTATTATTAACATATCCAAGAGAGATCATACTCGGACTTTCAGATTCTTCAAAGAATTGTAAAAGAAAGGATCTCCACTTGGCCCCCTTATTTACTTTTGGAAAATTTATGAGAGAGTTCCTCGACTACAAAGTTCATAGATTAGGGAGAGCAAATGTCTTTTGACTGTATGTCTTGACATCGACATGTTTTGAGTTGCTGCAAATAAGCATGACTCTTCATGATGGCAAGACAGTTGAGTCCCATTTACAGGATTATTTTGCGTTGTTGTTACTTCTTTTCACCTCTTCTTCTTTAGGTGTGATTCAATCAAAAGATTTCATCCCATCTGTGCGTAAGTATATATATATAAGATACATAATACTGCAATTTGGACTAATAGATTGTAGAAACATTTTCCAAACAGAGCTTACAAATAAATTGGAGCCTATGCATAAATGCAGAATTGGGACATGATTTGGACACGTGAATGTGAAAGTTCGTAACTACATATATATCGTTTATATATCCTTTGTAACTGTTGAATACACCCTCTCTAAAAACTTAAGTTTTTGGAGTAGATAGTTGTTTAACATGGTATTAGAGTAGGAGGTCCTATGTTCAAATCTCGCCTCTGTTAATTAAAAGATTTCTACGTGTTGGGCTCAAAATTTTAGTCTGCATGTGAGGGGGCATGTTAAAATATAAATACTTAAGTTACACGAAGGTTAAACTTTTGGAGTAAATGATTGTATAATAGTAACCAAATGCAACTATGATTAAATCGTTTTTTTTAAATGTCTCAAGTGGTTGTAATATTACATTCTGTTGCTAAAGTGATTGAAAAGTCATAATCTGAGGTGTCTAATACATGTCCAATGTTGTAGCCTTGTAGGCCAAGCTTCAACCAGGAGGGCCTCATACAGTATATTGTTGGTGTGTTCGGAGTCCCTAGAACATCATTCCAACACTTATCTGACAGACTCAGTTCGTTTATTATAGCATCCGGTGTTTTTTTTAAAGGATACATTCGCGTATAGGATATCTAGAAAATGTTTTACATTGAGGGAAAGAATAAATGCAATTTCAAGAAGTTTGCAGATTACTTTTTTACCCATTGAGCTTGTTTCCTTCACTTCTTACAGTGTCAGATGGGGTCTTTGTAGGGGTTTCCAGGGTGTTTATCAAATTTAGTCATACTCCTCTGTTTTGTTTCTCTCTCTAGCTTGTGGCATTCCTCATCTTTCAGACTTCCTGTATCTGCACATTGCTTATATAAAATTTATGGTTTCTCATCAAAACGGAAAAGCAATAGATCGTAGATAAAGTGGTGGTTGTTGATTTATGCCAACAAAGAATGATCATTTTTGGTGGCATAGCTTGATCATTCGTAAGAATATAGGAATATGACAAAAACAGCTACATGGCTGCAGTGAGGTATGCTTCTTAGCTGTTGTGAGAGGTCTCTACACCCTTATGTTATGCATCAGAATGTTGTAGGTCTCTACACTGGGGGGACAAAATCAAAGGATCCAATAGATCAAACGACAGAGGATGTATATGTTGTATGGTTTAGATTGAGACAAAAATTTTCTTTTCCGGCCGGATTGTGCAGTATTTATGTTGCCCATCCCAAATAATTGGTTGAGGCACTTTGATAAGCATGGCATTATTGTTAGAATTAGTAGTGGTTGTTGTAGCTTTAGTTGTTATAATGATGGTTGAATTCAAATATGAAAGGATTCACGTTCGATAACAAAATCAACAAAGAATGATCTGAAAAGAACAAAAAGAGAGAAAAGGAAGTAAGGATAAAGTAAAAGGAAACAAGGATAATAGAAGACAATTACATGGTCCTGCAAAGAGACAGACTTTGTGTGTGTGTGTGAGAGAGAGAGGGGGAGAGAGAGAGAGAGACCTAATAATAAGTCAATAAGATTTGTTCGGTGACAATCTGGCTTTATGAAATCTTGTTTGAGCCTGCGTAAGTCCCCTTTCTTACGATAGTCCACTGTTTTTAAAGGGCCTTTCTTTCATTAGATTAGTTGTTGTTCTTCCTTCTTCACACATTTACCTTTTTTTTGCCTTCAAGGGATATTTTTAATCTTTTGTTGCAAAAATCATCCATGCGATTGCTTATTCTTCAAATTATTACATTCATGCAGTGTGATTTTTTTGCATGCACAATTAGCCTTTCTTGAATTGGTATTTTCGGCCTTGTGATAATTGCGACCCTTTTTCAGCTTTATGGAAATGGTCACTCGTGAATTTAATCTTGGGGAAGCTCTGGAAGTGGTTAAAAATCAAGTTATGATCCTGAGTCGTGAGCGTCAGGTGCAGGTCATATATGATTCACCTGCTGAAGTGTCATCCATGTCCTTGTATGGGGAAACTTGAGGCTTCAGCAAGTCCTTTCAGATTTCCTGACCAATGCTCTCCTATTTACTCCTGCATTTGAAGGATCATCAGTTCTGCTCAGGTTAAATCCAAGAAAACAACGTATTGGAAACCAAGATGCATGTTGTTCATCTGGAATTTCGGTAATTTGAGTTTATACTTATCAGCATGTTATTTTTTTACTGGTCAGAAAGACTGAAACCTGATAAGTTACAATTTTAGGAATAGTGCGACTTATCAAGCATCATAATGAGTGTTGTTTTTGAACGAACTGATTTGAATATGCCAAACGATGTCCTTCAATCATAAGGATGTATCTGACACTGCTTGAAACTTGCATTTGGAGACTGCTTGTTTGCTAAGATTGGAGTTTCAAGAGTTCAAACTTGAAACTACTTTTTTTTTTTTGAGGGAACCCTAACTTTCATGAAAGAAAGATAAAGGTACAAAATGGTGGACAAGTAATCCAACATAAGTACTAGTAGAGAAAACTGAAATTAAAAATAACAAAAGTCAAAGTGAAAATAAAAAGTTACAATAGAAACCCCCTTTGCCCACCCCTTTAGTTACATTGCAGAAACCAATTTTGATGAAACAAGGAAGAAAGGAATATCCCGAAATTCCTTACTAGCCATAGTCCATAAAGAGACTAAAAACGTAACTCTCTCCCGTAGGAATTCTCCCGCTCAACTTTTTCATCCAAGATCCTTCTTATTTCTTTTTCTATAATTGATAGTGCAATCCCAAAAAATGGAAGCCCTTATATGGTT